GCACTACTTTTACAATGGATAATTTTATCTGACGGAAATAGTTATCTGCATTATTGTTACAATTGACAATTTTATCTGACTGAACTAGTTATCTGCTTTATTGTTACAATGGTTAATTTCATCTGACTGAACTAGTTACCTGCGCTATCGTTACAATGGATAATTTTATCTGACTGAACTAGTTATCTGCATTATTATTACAATGGTTAACTTTATCTGACTAAACTAGTTATCTGCACTATCGTTACTATGGTTAATTTTATCTGACTGAACTAGTTATCTGCATTATTATTACAATGGTTAATTTTATCTGACTAAACTAGCTATTTGCACTATCGTTAAAATGGTTAATTACTGTTACTGGAGTAGTTAACTACACCGTTACAAATAATAATTTCATCTGACTGAACTAGATATCTGCATTATATTTACAATGGAGATTGTTATTGTAGTTACAATAGGTAATTGAATTTGAGTGATTTAGTTATCTAAAACGTAGCAGTTTCAGTTGAGTGAAAGAGTTACCTGCATTGCAGCTGTAATGAACAATCACTTCAAATTATGGGAGATTTTATATATCAAACTGTTACCTACACATCTGCAAGTGGTGATTATTTTAATAATAATGGAGAATTTTATCTGACAGAAAGTAACGTATGTGTGGTATTTGAACTTTATTCCAGACACACAGATACTGAATAACTTCAGCAGAATGAGGCTATTGTATAAAACTATAAACATAATGATTTTGTCAGAAACAACTAACCACAAGCTATAGACAAATATAGCTGAACATTTCTTAAACTTCCTGATATTAGAGATGTACCCAGTGTCTTCCTAAACTGTTTCGAACTAATAAATGCAAGTACAAAAGAAAACCATTACAATTTACATAAGAGTATTCTATCAGTTTTTTTTTAGTCTTTGTTTTTGTGAAATCCCCATGGTTTGGCAAAGTAGTTGTGACAGACCTGCACTGATCTTGTTGAGAAACATTGGTTTAGATGAGTAAAGTAGCTGTAGCTGTGGTTAGCAAAAAAAAAATTATACCTCTTGGATAGTGAAGTCATTTTGGTAAGTAAAAATTACTTGGGCTTCAGAAAAACTGTTTATTTTAACCATATGCTTCTTAATAGTGTTTTACGTCAACACACTAGTGACACGTCTTAATAGTTACAAGTCAGGCCTTTACTAGGTGCAATAACAACTAATACTAGTTTAGTATACTTCACTGAAAAAGCTAGGAATACGCATTAGTTTTGTATGTAAGTTATTAAATTCCACACACACTATTTCAACATAAGAAAACAAGAAGCAGCACTTTTGAACGAGAGAAATGTATTACAATATCTACTCTATATTACATTTCAAATACTCTATGACTGAATTTATACATTTTCTATGTTAATAAACAATATTTTTAAGGCTTGTTTCAAAACTGGTTCAATGTTGATCAGGAAGCAACTGAATAATAAACATTTTCATTGGCTGTCCACTGTTATCAGGGCTCTCAACAAGCTCCGAGATTAGTCCATTTTGGATGTTAACCTGATTTTCCTTCTGAAACTGGGTTTCATTCTGTTGCTTACTGGTCATATTTGATGGAGGTATCGCTAACCTGGAATCTGAAGATGCCTCCGAGACATTTTCAGACTCCTCTTCTGGAGAGGCAAGAGATGTAAGAAGTTTCATTGCATCTACTAATATATCTTTTTCGACTGAAACAGCCGAAGTGGTAGGTATCTCAGATGAATTGCTCTCTAAGGACACTTCCTCTGAAGGTTGGTTCACTGTACTATTCTGTGTGGATGTAGTTTCCTGCTGATGAATTTTCTGTTTCTTTTTGTTGTTTATCCGGAATTCTTCCAGCACATTCTCTGGCACACTCATCTCATTTAATAAAGCTTCTTCTAGACGTTCCTTCTCCAACTCCTTCAATCGAAGACTTTCAACAGTATGCTCTTGTCCAGAATGTTCAGAAAATTCACGCAGAAACGTTTCTGCTACATCCATTCCTCTTTTAGCAGCATCTTCATCACTATCATCTGCAACATTCTGAGTCTGACGCATGGTGAAGTCTGGAAGATGATGGACTGTTCTAATGTGTTTAGTCAGATTACCCTTTACGTTACAAGAATAGGAACACAAGTGGCAGCTAAAAGGCTTGATTCCGAGATGCACCACTTCATGTCGCTGGAGGTGGCTTTTGGTTTTAAATCTCCGTGCACAGTTGTTGCAAAGATACTGTCCTTCTTCATGGATCTTCCTATGGGCCTTCAGTTGTGAAGTACTCTTAAAAGCCTTATTACACTGTTCACAAGAAAATGGTCTTTCGCCCGTATGCCGTCGAAGATGGACAATAAAAGATGCCTTTTGCTTGACAACAGCATTACACACAGGACACTGTAGTTTCTCAAGATCTGTGTGTTTAATTATATAATGCCGACGCATAATCTCCCTAGTGTGGGTTACAAATCCACACACATCACAAACTTCTATAGGCATTTTGTTGTGGACAAACTTAATGTGTTCCTTTAAACGATTATCATTTGCAAATGCTTTTCCACATATTTCACACATATAATTACGCTCCTTTGTGTGAGTTGGTATGTGACGTTGAATATCAATGTTCGCCACAGCTCTATATTCACAGTAAGGGCATTTGAAACGTTTGTTACCAGTATGTCTCCTCATATGACAGTCTGGAATAAGAGAATAATGTTTCTTGTTAAAAAATGTATAGAAAATATTAAAATTATATATTACTACTCCAATTTTATGTTAGACTTCATTCTTCATATTTAAGCAGTTGAAAAAAAAAGCTTTGTTAAGTGCGACAGATGAGACAGCAACTTACAAAGTCCATGTAAATTTTTATTTTTATAATTACTGATACAGAATTTATCACTATGAGTCTTCAAATAAAGATTTTGATGGACATACACAAAGTGGAAAATTCACAGAGTTTTGAGACACATTTTTTGCCATTGTTTTTTAATGGATTTGTCGTTTTATCACAATTTAAAATCTCTGCAAATTTCATATACTTTTACAACTTAAAAACACTTAGCAACCTGTTGATGTTAATCATGAGACAAACAAAGTACAAATTACAGACAGCCATACATATATATAGTTGTACACATATACTGTGTAAGAAGTCGGTGACACATGTTGCAGATGTATCATTCTGAAACAAAAATGTAAGTTAATGTGACACAGTTACAAACGGCTAAATCTCTGAAACAGAACTAAAAAAATCTGATTCATGCCCGTAAATCTGTAAACCATTTTTAGATGAAGTACAATTTTACACTCAAAAGTGATACTTGATAGCCTAAAAGATTCTCTTTTCTTATGTTAGTAGAGAAGGCATATGCCTAAAATTTACTTAACCAACATTTATAGTGCTTGTTTGTCTGTTTTGAATTTTGAGCTATGTGTTCTAGCTATCCCTAATTTTGCAGTGACAGACTAGAAGGCAGCTAGTTAACACCACCCACTGCCAACTCTTTACCAACGGAGAGTGGGATTGACCGTCACATTATAGCGCCCCCACAACTGAAAGGGCGAGCATGTTTGGTGTGATGGGGAATCGAACCCATCACCCTCAGATTGTGAGTTGAGTGCCCTAACCACCTGGCCATCAATGAATACTGAGATTGTCCATCACATTATAACGAAAGAACAAGCACATTCAGAGATAGGATTTGAACTTGTGAATGTACACTGCTTAATATGATGTTTGTTGATACTTATATTAATAAACAAACATTAATGACAGATTTTGATAATTATTTCATGTACATTCTAAAGCAGTTGGAGTAAGGAGAAAAAATTAGATTTTTGCCTTTTTTTTTTATGGAAGAGAATATGGAAATGGATGCAAAGCTTGTCTCTAGATGCACGATTAATTTGTTCAATACATAGTGATGTGCACATATGGACAGAAAAAAAGGTACAGAACATATGTAAACACATGGTTTTGAAGTAAATGGTTACTATATATACATGGTAAATTTTTCTTAAAAACAAAGGCTATATTATCAATTACTCAGCAGTTTTGACAATCGAGTTCTTGATGTCAAATTGCTGAATGCAGTTATTGAAATATGTTATACATAGTTATTATTATCATAATTTATTTAACAATAATTCTATACATAAAGTAAGTTTGTTAACACATTTTTTATAAATTATATAATAATTTCTAAGATCAAATGCTAGCTACACAGAAATTCAATTATCACACAGTATCTTAAAATTGATTATAATACTGGGTAGAAACAAAGTAGAAGACAAAGTGGTTCATGACAAAATAACTCAATAGATCAGTCAAGCTAGAAGAAGATAAAGTAATTCATGACAAAATAACTCAATACATCAGTCAAGCTAGAACAAGATAAAGTGGTTCATGACAAAATAACTCAATACACTGGTCAAGCTAGAACAAGATAAAGTGGTTCATGACAAAACAACTCAATACATTGGTCAAGCTAGAACAAGATAAAGTGGTTCATGACAAAATAACTCAATACATCAGTCAAGCTAGAACAAGATAAGGTGGTTCATGATAAAATAACTCAATACACTAGCCAAGCTAGAACAAGACAAAGTGGTTCATGACAAAATAACTCAATACACTAGCCAAGCTAGAACAAGACAAAGTGGTTCATGACAAAATAACTCAATACATCAGTCAAGCTAGAACAAGATAAGGTGGTTCATGATAAAATAACTCAATACACTGGTCAAGCTAGAACAAGATAAAGTGGTTCATGACAAAACTCAACACACTGGTCAAGCTAGAACAAGATAAAGTGGTTCATGACAAAATAACTCAATACACTGGTCAAGCTAGAACAAGATAAAGTGGTTCATGACAAAATAACTCAATACACTGGTCAAGCTAGAACAAGATAATGTGGTTCATGACAAAATAACT